TCAGGTATTGTCGTGTTGCCCCCCCCCCCCCCCATTATAAACTGTGCTATCGTCTTGCATGCACATCTACGTAGTATACACAATCTGGCAAACCTCAAGACTGTTTTGGTAAGTGGTGTTAATACTTTCCCTGTTAGCATTTTGTAGTGCTTAGGCTGTCAATATGGAAATTTGCCTGCAAATGTCAACGATCCCATGAGGTAACTGCTTCTAGAAAGATACTAATAATACTTTGTGCATTAAGAACTCTTTTGAACTGGTAAGGTATTTATGAATTCTTTGTACTGCAAAGCAGCTGCAGAACAAATAAAGGTAAACTCTCTGAATCTGTATTAAATCTCTGTGAAAATAATGCAAATTTAACAGACTAGAGTAAGAGCACACTGGGTAGTAGTGACAGGCATACAAGAGGACACATTCAAGATGGGGCAAAGAGGTCTGATACACTGTACTGAAACAAAAATATTTACCATTTATTTGCCATACATTGGACTAAGAAGTTTGATTTTTGTTCCCCAGCAACTATTCCAAACATGCCAGAACAGTTCTCTATCTCTGGTACCCTCTGCCCTGTGATCTTCCTGCTTTTTTTCTCTCTTCCTCTTACAAGTGCTATGCCCCCTTATAGCTTTGAAGATGGCCCTGCTTTGAGCTGGAGACTGGACCAGTGACCTTCCAACTAAGACTTTTCAGTGATCCTATGACTATCTGATAATCGCAACCGTTTTTGCCTTCTGGCAAAAGCTTCTTCGGGATTTCTCTAGTATTAAAATCTTCAATTCCTTCACTGTAGTTAATGAATCTAGTCCCAAATGGATTTATTCGTCCTTAACCCTTTACTGTGATCTCTGCCTTCCGTCTCCTTTCTGTGCTTTTGTGTGCTCTCTCTGTGTCTGCTTTGTGTCCTTCCTTTAATTTATACCACTATCTAGTTCACATACGTGACGAACTATGTGCGAGAGCCTCCTGAACAAAGCCTCAAGAACAAAGCTCCTTTGAGTCGTAGATCATCTCTAGATCATCTATTGCTAGATATCATGTTCTGTAATTGTAATTACAGGATTTTTGTAATTGGATTGTCTGATGACATTGACAAAGGAAGTTACCTAAATGAGTTTGCAAGCTATATTTCAGTGAGCAAGAAGAAATATTCAATCTCTACTGCTTGTGCTGTTCTGCACAATCTCATGACCTACCTCCAGGGAAGGATCAAACATCTTTTTGTGTTAATACTCATACTGCAAAGGGTCTCCTGGAGAGAAGACCGCTTCCTTCAGTAGTAAAAGTAAGGGTAGATGAATGGTTCCTTTCTCCCAACTGCTTAGTGAACAGGCAAGTGTCATTCTTCCTCACCATCACTTCATATATTCCCAGCATTTTAACATTCCTCAAAGTTTTCCACTAAAAGTGTTTTCTAGATAGCAATGGAAAGCCTCAGTCTTGCATGAATGCAATTGAGATAGCCTACTTCAGTCCCTTAGTTCACCTGTTATAAAGATATTCATAGTTTCAGGGTAAAATTGAAAATACCAACAGTCAAGGAAAATTTCAGCAAGAAAATGGAATTTGCAAGTCTGTGAATGTCTTCTGAGTGTGTTCTTATAACTTCTAATGTTAATTGGGAATAGAGGTTCCTGTGTTACCTAATTTAAGTGTTCCTTTTCTGTTGACCTTTTTGATCTCCTTTATATTCCCATTTTATGGGGATAATTGACTAAGTTCCAAAAGTGAATTAAAATCATCAGGTGATCATAGACATATTAGTGAAAAAGAGAATGTGAAAAATCTGAAGAGAACTTCTGAACCGCAGGCTCTTTGACTAGTATCCCAGGTGAAAACGGAGGAGGATAAATCTCTGTCTTTGTCAAAAGAAACTTCAACATTCTCAAAAATTCTTTCTTTGGGAGGCTACATTACTGGTGGTTTTGAATCCAAATATATGTCTAATCAATGTTTTTCAGATTTCTAAGCAGAGGACATTAAATGTGTGACAAATCTAAGACATTTTACAAATGACCTTTTTTGACAGAAACGTGATGTGGATTAACATCAAAATAACCAAGTCAAATGAGGTTTAGACTACTAATGTTTCTTGTTTTTCTTCTCATGAGCACACACAGGGACATGCACTTTTAAAATGTCAATCTGTAAGACCCCATTATTCCATCTTGTTGCGTTTGAAAGATTGACTTTGGTTTCTTCTATTGATTCATTTAATTGGTGAAACTAAAATGAAGTTTGTTATCTACCAATTGATACTTATGCAGACATCAGAAGGTGTATTTTACCTAATTATAAAAAGTTTTTATATATGATTCTTTCAACAGAATAAAATTTTCTTAGTACTCAGTAGTAAGAACAAAGGAATTATGGATTAAAAAAACCCTATTTTTTCCCATTTTATCATGGAAATTGCATTCTCATTGAAAGGAGTCTATTTATTGTGCTTTTTGAGGGTGAGCTCTTTTTGAGAGTGAGCTGTCACACAAGTACAGATCACAGCCTAAGACACGCTTATTTAAACATTGTTTTCTTACGGGTATGTCACTGCTAAAGCAAGACTCATTAACTACTTTGTGTAATAGCATAATAACTTGTGAGGAAGCTGAACACAAGCTTGGGAAAGGTTTATAAGTGCCTATGCATTCATATTTTCTCATTTGGTATTTTATTTCCTAAACTCTTTAAGGGACTAAGAAAAAGGAAAAGTTTTTAATATTTTTCATATTAGATTTTATTCAATGACACTGTCACATTCATTACAAAGCAATTTATCATTTCTTAACATACAGTGTGACAGCATGCAATAACTCCAACAGCTTTCTCCCACTTCAGTTCCAGAGTAACTTGCATTTTTATTGATACAACAGTGACTTAAGACTCATACTATACCTTCCACTTTTTAAAAAAATATTTTTCAAAGCAGTTAATGAAGCACAGCACAACATCTTTTAGTATCTTGCTACCTAAATTTCTGCAACTGTATCTAGTTCTCATCCAGTTATTGTGTTAAGAAACTATGTTTAAATTGAGGATGTCACAGAATATTGAATATTTCAAAAGGCTTAATACTCCCTTGTGTATTTTGCAGACAATCCTGGGCTAGTGAGCCACGTTCCAGTTGGTGTTAGAATCCTGGACGTCAATGACAACCCTCCAGAGCTCGCCAGAGAGTATGATGTAGTTGTGTGTGAGAATGCAAAGCCTGGCCAGGTAACTCTCACAGTTATCTTTCTCCCAGTGAGAAAGAAGAATTACTTTATTTGTTAATGCCACATAGGTAAGAAGTTTGATTCAGGGAACACACCTTATATATATAATTCTTTCTGATTTCATTTTCATATTTCACATTTGATTCACCTTTTTAACTGTATTAGGCTGAAGGGAGAAGATTTGGGAATTTGCTCAATATATCTTTGTTGTTGCTGCAAAAAGGTACCCAAACTATCTTCAGTAAAGACAGGCAAAACTTTAATCTTGTCAGATAAGTGATGGAATTTGACAAGTCACTATCGTGAACAAAATGGATGAAGCATATTTAACATCTCTCATCTAAGTGCCACATGGTAGCAAGGTTTCAAATACAGCTCAGTGAATTGGCTGGTTAACATGGCTGCCATCCTCACTTTTTGCATGTTGATTGCCCTTGTCTGTGCAGGGTCATTATGGAAAAGATATCAAATGGGTTTTTCACAACTATGAGCATGGGGAGGGTCAGAACTGAGACTGAGTAGCAGAATCACACTCCAGCTGCTGCTCCTGTGATTGATACACTTCATTGCAGTCCATGGTTTGAAAGTTTTACCCAGTGCCTTTGCTTTTTTGCATAGATTGAGCTTTTACCCAGCACTCAGTGCTGGGTTTGCATTATTACACAGGTTGCAAGTTGCAATTTTGAGCTCGTGTATTTCCTGAGGAATATATTATTAGTAGTAACAGTTTTCTCATCAAATCTTTAAAAGCAGTGTACATAAATGCATAGTGGTATATTTCTATTTTTAACGTAGAGACTATAAAATGCTGTACTTCATCAGATTATAGGCTGACCAAAGGTATCTTGACTCTAACCGTGGCCAAAAGCTGACATCTAAAGAGCAGTATAAGAACATGGCAAGGGTGTATGATGCTTACCCCAAGTAATTCCCTGGTCTCAGATCATTTGCAGATAATTTCCTGATCCAAATGTGGTTCCTGTGTTTTTAATAATCCTTCAATAACCATCTCATATGAATCTGTCTAGCTTTTCTTACAACAAACATAAACTTTTGATATCTGCTACTGCAAGGAATTTTACAGTCTAATTGCATGTTTCAGGAAGACCTACTGCCTTCTTTTTTTTTCTTTTCTTTTTTTTCCTAAACTTCCCATGGTGTCTTCAATCGATATTTACCCATTTTTGTGCTGGAAAAGAGAGAGAGAGAGAGAGCAGTTGATCCCTATTTATTATCACTGTGCCATTCATAAATCTCTAGCACATTGCCCCTCAGCCATCTCTTGTCCAGACTGAAGAGTCCTACTTAATTTGTACAAGCCGTGATAAAGCCCTTCTAGACTTTTGATCATTCATCTTGTCCTCCTCTAAACTTTCTCCAATTCCTCTCTATTCACCTTGAGATGGGGAATCAAGATTCAAGGTGCAGGTATGCAGTGGCTTATAATTCTTACCATAGTTTATGTTTCATAGTATATGATGATCTCTGCTTTGTTTTCTATTCCTTTCCTAGCAATTTCTAACAATGACTTTGCTTTTTAACCGCTAGTAAGCACTGAATGCAAAAAACTGCCTGCCAAAACACCAATACCATTAGAAGTAATGGTCAACTCAGAGATCGTCATGTATGTGAAGTTTTTACCTATGTATAATGAATTTCACCTGTCTTTGTATTGCCTGGCTACTGAGTATCAGAAGGTCTATGGTGGGCTGATTATTCATACTCTTTCTAAGACATTTATTATTACACTGACCAACAAGTGGCCCAGCATAAATCTGTGTGGAACAGGAAGTCTCTGTTACTTCCTTTCCTTGTGGAATAGACAAGGTACAGAAGAGACCCTATTTCCTGTCCTTTGAGCAATTATTTGTGCAAGGACCTTCCCTCTTATCTCATGACTGCATAGTTTTCTTCGGTGCTCTTATTGAGACACCTCACTCAAAGCCTTTGAAAAATCTAAGTATGTCTGTCTATCAACTGAATATCTCTTATTAACATGCTTATTAAAGTAAAAATAATGTTCTGAAAACCTCAAATAAAGCCAGATACAGAATTAGAACTTGTAAAAGACTAATTTAAAAAAAGAAGATAAAATCTCTTAAACATTAATTGCAATTGCTTTCAACATACTCTGATATTTTTTAAATTATATAATGTAACAATAATTGTTAAATAGTTGTTATAATGAATAATAAGCTAAAGCATGCAGTGAAGCTAGCTCAGAAATGCTCTGTTTGCCGGGGTTGCTGTAGGTGGTGAGTAGCTAATGTTTCTTATTAGCAAAGTTTTAACTCTCCCATAGTAGCTTTGCAAATGGAAATTTATGAGAGATATGTTTAAAGGATAAAATAAGTTTTACTGTAACAGCATTTGCTCCTGATTGGGTTCAGCGCTGTATTTCTTTCTGAGCTACTGTTGCAAGCATGAAAGACTCCTGACCTCTGTAGCATTGCAGTTTAACACACAAGATTAATGCTACCATGAAGGACTCTAGAAGCAGTAGTTTGATATGAAAGGCTGGATCAGCCTACTATTGTATTCTTAAACTAACACATTGAAGTGTGGAGTGCTTAAACTCCGTCACGTATGTGACATGCACTAATTTTTATTTGCATTGCCAACAAGGCTTCAGAAAAGATTGTGATACCATTGCACTGTACAAAAAACAAAAGCAAAACAAAACACAAAAGTGCATGGCTCTTACTCAGAAGATCTTGCTGTCTAGTTTAAGAAAGAAATTGAGTGTTCAACAAATATTAAGGAGGGACAAATAAACAAGGATTACAGAACAAGACAAGTGTTCCATATGCTAAAAAGCCAGCTGGATGGTTTTGAATCACTGAAAAGGCAGTATTTACTCATTATCCATCATCTTGTGAGAATGATTCATTTATCACTAAAGAACAAATTCTGTCAGGTACTGCCAGGCACTTCTGCTTAACTAGTGCTTTGAGGTTGGGCTGCAGCCCTGCACTGCCCGGTAAGAGTCCTTATTTCTTTCCTTAGCACATCTATTTTGAATTTATAATGTGCAAGATAAACTAACCAATAGTTTGTCATTGGCAGACTTTTTGTATTTGCTTGTTTATTTTCAGAAGAAGCCTCTATGGAGAGAAGTCACAGTATCATTTAATTGCACAGTCTGTCTCCTGCTTCTTTTTCCTTCCACAGCTCAATTTATTTACTTTAAAAACAAACAAAAAAGCCAATAAAACTTAAGGACTTAAGTGCTTAAATGCACCCCCCTAAGGCATCTCAAACAGAAAATGCTTGCGAGAAGATGATCATTTCCACACTGAAGTGACAGCTTTACTCCCTTAGCAGTCACCTTGTTGAAGAGATAAACTAAGTATCTCCAAAGGCTTCCAGGTGAAGCCTGGTAGATATTATATATTAAAGTAGATAAAGCAGCTGTGATTTGATCTTAGATGGTACCCAGACTTGGAGAATTCTGACTTCTGGAAATATAGCGATTTTGTGAACGATTGTGAAATTTAGCCAAGATAGGAAAATGAAATTTTGCAATCATCCGCAAAGTGAACTTACAATGAAAGTTTCCTTTGCTTCAAATGCAACTTGTTTTATTATTTGTAAGACAATGGGAGCAAACAGTGTGGTAAAAAAAAGTTTAAATGCTTTGTTTGGGAAAGTGAAGGAGTGAAGCATTGACAGTTTTCTGAATGTTTCCAAATTCAGTGTTTGTCCTGGCAGAGTATGAACCTGTTAAAATATCTGACTAGGTCTGCTAGTCATATTCGCTATAGCTCTCCAAAGATTACCTTTTTTCGGGGTGCTTTTCAGAGGAATAACAGAAAAAGTTGTGACAACAGTGAAATGTAATTTGCCTGACACTATCCATCACTGTAAATTAGCGCACAGGTGTGTGTATGTGTGCACGTGTGCATGCACGCACACACACATACACACACAAAGAACTCTTCCAGAATCAGGGTGTATAAATATTGTGCTGCCAACATGAGCTATCTCACTCTGGATGCTGTTATTTCTAATAGCCAAAGGAAATCAATGTTAGCTGGCAAGGAACACCTCTTCTATAAGTTCGTTGTGTGTATATTTACTTGTTTATTGATTCAGTTCTGAAAAAGATCTGAGTAGAATTTAGCACCTGCTCTCTATCCTCTTCAATTAGTTCTCTTCCGTTGTTAAAATTCTTTCTTTTCTCGCCAAGTCTTGCCTTTAAAAAAATAGCATAACCCTTCAGTTTCATCACTTCAGTGCTGTCAAGTGAGCTTTACAGCAGCTGAGGTTCTGTGTCTACATTTTTATTTTAATCAGCTTTGCTAACGTGCATGTTAATGTCTGCTAATAGGCCATTAATTAATTGGCTTATTAATTAGAAAAAGGTTAACAGTACATTTGGGTGTCAAGAGGACACACACTTTTGTTCCTCACCTCTGAATGAATGTCTTAGAAATGTTTTTCTCAGAAAGCAAGAGCCTCTTCTGAAAGATCGTGAACTTTCTGTTTAAAAACAATTCTGTCAAAAATATCTTGATCTGTGCTATCACACATACAATGTCTATTTTCCACATGGAAAAGCATGATTTCTATACCATCTAGTGCTGTATGTTTTACATACATTGGTGAATTGAGGGGACACTTGAATTTCCATGGGTGAAGTCAGGGAATGTAGACAATATATTTTGTTGAGTTTTAAAATTAGTCTTAAAAAATGCATTTTATACTAGTCTTGTGGCACTGAGGTCTTGATCAAAGGTATTTTTTTTGCAAAATGGTATGTTCATGAAGCAAGATTCTGTAAAATGTCACTGAACGTTTTACGTAAGAGAGGGCAAGAGGATGAAAGTTTATCTACTAGGCGGTCAAAAGCTGAAGGTTCATGGTGAAATGACTTCTATTTCACTGATAAACAGCACTGAGCATTTATAAATAATATTTTAAAAAATCATATTTTTTAAGGTCTTATCTGAATTTTTTACAGCTATGTATGGTATTTAACAGTATTTTTAGTATTTGAGTGATAACAGAAACTGATTCTCTTGAAAATATTCTTCCATCAACATTTTTTTGTCTTTCTTTGCCTCATACTGTTTCAACAATATTAACTAAATATATCTATCTAGATAACCTGATATTTCTGTTTTACATGGTAGTTGTTTCAATAACAGATATACCACCTTTGCAAAATTCAATAGAGAACAATTAGCTTTTGCCAAACTTTTTCACCAATATTGCCATGACTTTGGTAAACTGCGTGATTATAGATGTTTCAGATTGATCTTATTCTGCTACAGTTCAGCAAAAAAGTATTAGAAAAAACTTTTAAAATATTCTCAGCAATTATCGTCAGTATTGTTAATTGTCTCAGGTGTGTATAGTCAATATAACGTACTGTATTGTATATAGTCAATGGAGTAAGCATTGTACTCGATTGGCTTTAAAGTGTATTTGTTTTGCTTCTCTTACGTGAATGGAGGTAGAGAACTGTGTGTTGTCTTTTAGTTTTAAAACACACCAAACCACTTGAGCCCGCACTGTTTATGCTTCAGGTTCAGTCCAGACAGACTAAAGCTGAACACTGAACAGAAAAATTCTCATGAAAAGAGCACTTTTCCCTCCCCCTTTTACATTTCCCTCAGGATATCTATCAGCGCTGTGCAGCGGTCTGTGTAGGCTTCACTGCCCATATCACAAGAACAACTTTTATTAAATTCTACTTTAGCACTTGAGCTTCCAGACCCAGCATGAAAATGAAAGCAGAGGTAGAAATATTGCTTGGTCACACATTCCAAAAGCTTATCTCAGTTTTAGTTGAAAGTAAATTTTAAAAACCACCAGGGTTTTCGAAGGCAAAGCTCCTACCTTTCAAAAATACCTCTCCCATACATGGTTGCCACATCCAATTCTGTTCCCTTTGGGCGAGCCAAACTAAAACCAGGAGTAGCTGCTGTTCTTCCTATTCCGTTCTCCAGCAATTCAAAACTGATCCTTAACAGGAATTTTAAACAGCTGGTATTATATACCTGCCATTTTGGTTAAACTATTTTAAACTTTGGGTTAAACTATTTTAAAATTTTGGATAAATTATTTTTCTGAACTAATATTGAAGTGCATCTAATTACTGGGATGGCAAGCAGATGATGATCCACATAGACCATCCTGGTTCAGCCTGAACTTTTGCTCCATAAAAACAGATGTTTGTTCTGAACATTCTGAAAGCCACCAGGATGCAATGCAGATGGTGAAAATCTCTCTACCAGATCCTGACTGCATCAGAATGTCAGAAAGTATAGATGCTTTAGATGCTTGTATCTAGCTCTGAAGTGTGGTTCCTAAAATATTTCATGCTAGAGATATCAAGCTAATGGTCCAGTCATTTCATCGGCTGAATTTAGCAGCACTCAAGTAGAAAATTAAAATAAACTAAGTGTGAGCATCCTGCTGAGGTCAGGTACTATTTGGGTCAAGTTCAAATTTCAACACATTCACTGTTAATTTTTATTTCAGGTAATTCAGACTATCACGGCAGCTGACAAAGATTACTCGGCAAATGGGGCAAGATTCCATTTTTCCCTTGATGAAGGGCTTTCTTTGAATCCCAACTTTACTCTAAGGGACAATGAAGGTAAATCAAACACATAAATCTCAAAGAAATGGATCTCTGTTTTGTCCGGGATGTCTCACTGAACAGAACAATTTCCATGCGTTTCTTGACAGAAGGGGAGAACTGTAATCTGTCATCACTGAACTGGCTGATATCAAGGACATGGTGTACACAACATATTGCAAACTATGAATAGTCAGATACTACATTTTATTTTTATATTCTGTTTTATTTTAGCATTTATACTTCATACCTTCAGGAATGTTTTTAAAAAGTGGATTAATGAAACAGACATTGGCAATTTGGTCTATTTCTGGGTGAATAGCGTTGAGTGGGTACTGTCAAGGTTATTGCCGGTTGTTGCTTAAAGGAGAAAATAAATGTTGAATTCATTCTTACTTTTACGGATATGATACCAAGAGCCAGTCCTTCAGGGCTTCCTGGATGATAGTCTATCACTTCATGCCCTTCCTAGCAAAGTGTGCCTAAAAAGACTGTCAGAAATTCATAGCAGATAGGCCCAGAATGAAAAGGGCCTTCAGAGTCACCCAACCAAGGGTTTCTGAACATTTCTTGAATCAAGGAACCATCCAGCCTTTCCAAAAAAAAACCAGAATCAGCCTTACTATTTGTTGAGTGTTGCCTCATGGTTTTCTTTTTGCAACCTGATGAAAATTAAAGTAAACTTTAAATGCTTGTCTGTAGCTTTCCTCTTGAGCTTTTGTGTATGTGTGTATTGTGTGGTTTTGTTTTTATGCGTGTGTGGAAGTGTGGGGAGGTTTGGCTTTATTTTACAGTTATATTTTTGCAGTAGTGCCATGGAATACCTTCTGAGATCTTACAGATCACTACTCATCTGTAATGACTGAGAAGCATTAACTCCATCATTAGTACATATGGCACATACAGTGATGTTTAAACTATCCTTTACAGGTATTTTTTATCTGTTTGTAAAACCTTTCAGGGAAGGAGACTGCATAATCTTCCTAAAGAATCTGTTCCAAAGTTTAGCTATACTTACAGCAGAAAAAAAGATCAAGTCATTCTATTTGTTCAGACTAGATTCATGGCCCTCATATTCTGGTTCCAAAAAGGATCAATCCAATATCTATCAATATTAAAAAACTAAGAATATTTGAAGGACTAATCCATACATTAAATATTCCTTAAGTGATGACTCCAGCCCTATCAGATTATAGCAAAGGCCAGAGGATTGTTCCTGAAATAAAGGAAGCATACTGTTGTGTATTTTCGTATTTGAGTCTAAGATTCAAATAAACTCATTGAGTACCTGACTGTGATCTTATATGGGAGACCATGGCCATGTTCATTTCAGTACAAGATACTTACATCAAGACGTGCTTTTGACTAACTCTATTAAAATAGTGGTTCATGATGAAGAAGGCATTTTATGGTTTTGAATATATTTTAATTGGGAACTGTATTATATATGTTTATTACCAGTGGAAAATGTTGTGTTATACTTTAAGGACAGCATGTCAACCGAAGTTATTTACCTACACAGATTTATAAGAGGTTGAGAACTTCTCATAAATCTCTAATACGGCAGTGTCACGCTTTGGATATAAGCATACAGCAGTAAGTATTTGCTGCTTTCTTGTTACCTCCCCAAGAGCAGCAAGCAATGACTTTAGCAACAACAGCAGAAGGCAGTGCTTGGACTATCCTAAAGTTGGATTTGGCAGGGGGAAGTAGAGAAAGGAACTGGAAAAAGTGTCCTTTAAGGTAAAGGCCTGTTGTGCATTATGTTTTTATTTCACCTAAGGAGATACAAAAAGTCAGTATGCACTTCCCGTAGCATCTCACATAAAAATTCTACATGTACAGAGAATCCAGAAATGCAATTTCCAATTTGCCCATATAATTAACACAATGACACTTTAACTCAATTCATAACAAGAAATTTATCTTAAAAACAAAAGCATTGTCACTGTTTTGCTCAGCACATGACCCTCTGATTGTACTGTTTAAACACTGCCCTTTATTGGGACCTTTTCTTTGTCATATAATCTGTATGTAAAATATCAGTGAAAAACTTATAAAGTGCATTCACAGTATCCAGTTATCTAGCATTCATAACTTTCATAATTATCACCTATTCCTATTCAGAAATTGAATTTCTGTTGCTTTCTGTTCTAGGAAATAGCTGAGACATGGTGGACAGAAGAGGCTTTTCTTATGTCTGTGACAAGTTTGCACTTTTGAAAACTCATGTTATTGAGCATCAGCTGTTAAAAAGAATCAAAATGCTCTTAACACGATTGCTGCTATTTTTACCTCTGGATTTGATAATTCTGTAAAGGCTGGCATTCTTGGAGGGTTTTATTTGTTTGTTCTGATACGTTTTTTTAAAGAAAAAAACTGCATCAGTTGCCTTAAGGGAATTTTCGATAGTGTTTTGCAGAATGATAAAAAACAAAAACTCAGTGTCACATTGAAAGTGGTAGCCAGTGGTAGCTGTATCTATCACTGCAAAGCTATATTTCTCTTGCAGTCATCTTTAGATCCAGTCATCCTCTCCTTTTATTTCTTCCGGAGAAAGGCTTCATTTCACAAAAATCTCAGTAGACATTTTCTTCCCTTGTTTTCATAACCCTGAACAAAAGAATTCTGCTCTTTGAGCCCCAATACGATATTGAATGAATGTTCCCCTACTCCATTATCATTAGTAGAGCTACAAGACCAAAAGACTCTACAGCACTGAATTGGATCTTTAAATATTAACACTTATATCTATGCACTTTGACTGAAATCTAGAGGACTTGCACGAGCATAAGATTTCATAGTTTGTCCCTACCTACGGGTATAGGCTGCAGCAATATATGATCCCAGCATGTGTATGATTCAGCTCAATAATATTCCATGGCTTCAGCAGAGGAAATAGATATTAACGCATCAGTCCAGATAATTGATCATATGACCAGTTAAACTTTTATCTCTTGGGTCTGAACTTGCACCTTTACTCCATAACAACCCACAATGTTAAAGCTCCAGCCTTTGAATATGCACCCTCATAATGCAGAGCTTAAAATCCTCAGGGAAATGTGGGCCAGGAGACAGCCTCAGGGCTATGCCAAATATGCAGTCCAGCAGAACCTAAGAGTTGCTTGGATCACCTTCTGGATTCTGTTGGTGTTTACAATTTTCATTTTAATGAAAAAATGGAAAAGACAGAACATGATACCTTTTTCCCTACTGACTGGATTCTTAAGCCACAGTAGATTCTTTGCTGCTATTTGAAATGTTTTATACACTGAGAAAGTACTCTTCAGAGAGAATAAAGGCTGAAGAGCAAGAACAAGAGGACAGCCAACAAAATGATGCAGTATTTGTACACATGTAAGCAGGACAGAACAAGAGCTGCAATAGAATTTCTTTGCTATATAAAGAAAACGCATTAAGTTGGTAATCATTTCCCACAATTTTGGAAAGCAAACCCAGGGAATATGCCTTTTTGTTTGTTTGAGAATTGTACTTATGAAGACTTTTTGATGAAAACAGGGCTGTTTACAATATATTCTGTCCAGAAAAATGTTGCAAATTCTATTAGAACCTGAGCAGCCAAATACTTTTTTAATCTGGAGGTGTTTTTACGTTGCAGTTCAGATGCTATATAACTCAGTTTATTGTTGTCCATGTTCTTCTCACTTTGTTTTTTAGGATGTTAGCAGAGATAATTTTGAAATGCTTTTTTCACTTGTGTGCAATGTCTTAAATTTACACTTTTTGCTTAATGAGAAATATCTGCTTTTGGATGTCCTGTTTAAAATTTGCCAGGGCAATATGAGATTAAAAGCACCTTCTGTTGGGGAATCGGAGGAAAGATGAAAGAGCGTCTTCAGAATAGAGATGTTTCTAAGTACTGAATTTTAAAATTATACATTTTTATCCTGAAAGAATCATAATATTTTTGCAGATGCTTAAAGAATGGTTGATTTATTTGTCAAAATTTGTTATTTTGATGGAAGATGCATGTGAGCATATGTTATTGTTATGATATCCCCAACCATTAATATATAAGACACACACTTGCATAGTCTCTCTTTCTCTGAGTTTAAAAAATTCATTCCCTCTCTCTGCCTATATTTTTAACGTATTAAAGACCTTTTTCAGAGGTTACACCACACTTTTCAGTGAGCTGGCGAAAGATTGAACCCCCAGAGGACAGTTCACTTAGGTGCAAAAGAACATTTATGAATTTTATGCACTGTAAAGCACTTTTGCTGGTGGTATTTTTTTCACAAGATATACAGTCTACCATGGATGCTCCAAGGGGAATTGTTAATTTCCTGGACAATAAGGGTTTGTACAGAGACTGTGCACATTCACTCAACACTGCCAATAAGATTTGTACATTCTCTTGCCTTAATAAATTTAGACTGCCAACTTCTGAAAGTAGACAAAGTTTACCTTACTTTCAAGGAAGAACAACTCCCTAGAGAATGCTTAGCATTTGTTCTCCCCTCCTTTTATTTCTTCAGGACAGAAGTTTCATTTCACAAAAGCATTTGCAGTTTTATTTTTCCCCTCTGCCCACTTTTCTCAAAGATCTGGCCTTTTGAAAATTGCCCAGTGATGGAGAATATTCTGGATTTGGAACTAAGGTAGGCCATTTTTTGATACTATCCCTTTGGAGATTCCTTTTTCTTAATGTTATGGCACAAGAGACTTTAATACCCACAGAAGTAGAGACCTGCTTTTGTATAAAATCTGGAGCACATTGAGTTCAATGGCATCTATATAAGATGAAATTTGTAATGTATTCATCCACCCATGCCTGTGATGCAAATTAACATTTTTCCTGTGTTACAGATCAAAAATAAGTAAAAAAAAAGTTCAGTTTCACTTGGCATTGCTGTTATTAGGAAGAGAACAACATCCAGAGAGTAATTAATCCAACCCCAGCGTGAATTCCCTTGAAGAAGTTTCTGTTTATCTCTCTTCCCTGATATGTGCAAAATTGATATCTCCAGCTGTATTGCACAAGAAGTCTCTGGCAG